CCCCCCCCAACTCCCCCATTTGCCCCTACGTCCTCCCGTAAAAACATGCCAACTCCAACGTAGGCTGCAAATGCCCCGCATTCCATTTCCTCTCCAAGAGAGAATGCAATTAGGAATGTAGTGTTGTGCTGGTGCGGTTGTGAACCAAGAATCACTGTGATATCACGCGTGTTACCTTAAAAAGTAGTACTAGCGAGATCTAATTAACGAATTTTTCCATTCATATTTTATCGTATTTATTAATGGCTGCGTACTCCAAGATCAACTAAGTTCGTTGATTCAAGTGGAGAAAATTTACAAGGTGAATAATTAGAACAGGGATCAATGCGGGTGCGAAAACTGGGAAGTACATTTAATTTCTATTTATAAATGCAAGTGGATGCAAAATTATTTGTTTCATTTTAAAATTATTACCTTCACAACCATCAGAATGCGTTTTTAATGTAAATTGAGAAATAGCTATTTATATTAATTTACTTGTAAATGTTTCGTCCTAATATATTGGAAATTAGTTTTACCTGCAATCATCTGCAAAAAAAACCAAGAAGATTATCGAAATATATTTGGTACATCAGGCAGACCAAAAGGCTTTGAGCAAAATTCATCTTAGCCATATCAGTAAACAATAAAGATCCATTGTTAAGCCTACTGGATTTTACATTTCTAAGGCCTATTTTTACTTACTGTTGTTGTAGCTCACTGTCAATAGTTAACGTGTAGATGACTGTCTTTTCTGAAATTTCGCTATCCCCATTATCTCTGTATTAATTTGTTTTTTTTCGAAACTCAAACTTTCGAGGTCTAGTTATCTTGCACTGCAATAAGTTTGGGCCCCGAATCGAAAAGGCAAATCATTATGATGGCAATAGATTTACTTTTATAATGAAGTCTAAAAAGCAAACTTTGTTCAAACTTTTTAAAAAATTAAAATTGCTCAGTGGATTTGTCCACTGACTGTTCCTTACTCAGTGACTTACAATAATCTAAACGCAATTTGAAGCCTAGACGAAAATGAAGAAATCAATGATGCCATTTTTAAAAGGAAATTATGTTCAATTAACAAATTAATCAAATTTGAATTATCATTGACTGTGGAACGCTCATATCAGAACACCGCAGACTTCTTAAGAAAATTTGGTCTTCCAAGTCAGAGAGAAACCCCATTATGCCAACTGTAAATTACTCTAAGCACGCTCGATGCCTAGTTTTAAAAAATTAGTTAAATATCGTAAAAATTTCCTTTGTCTCAATGAATATTACGAGCAGCATTTACTTGGTGATTGTGAATTGAAATCATGTCGATATTTTAGGCAAGTATTTCATTATTTCGCTTCACTGGTCCAGTTAACGGTGTCGTGAAACTAGTTATTCTCTTCAGATCTCGCTCAGCATTCTGTCAAAAAAGGACAGTTCCTTAAACCGTATCTGCAATTCCATCTACATTTAGGAATTTTGATTAGCCAATCAAGGGTGGTAACCTTCTGATCGTCTGTACCTGTCAAGTCAGACATCATTAGGCGAATATTCATCAATTCACATCCAGTAACATTAACAGTTAACTGCACGATCATTATGACGGATGGTAGATGGCCAGTTTTCCCCAGCCGCGGAACTAATTCAATTTCTTACCCGGATGGGATAAAGATTAACAAAATCGGAAGAACGATAAGTTTACATTAGCTACAGGAGCACCCAGAAGTTGCATATTTTACTTCATTATGTGTCAAATAATACATGTTCTCAGAATGGACTGGTTGATAGGTCTGTGCACTGAAACTCCTTCGTTTAGTCAGTCTTGATAAACCTTTTGAGCAGTGCATTTATCTCCTTGTCATACATTATCACGCAAAATAAAATTCCAAATTTCGGAACTACGCAAATAATGGTTCAAACTAGACCAGTCACTTTTTGATAGCATGTTAATACTGCCTTCTAGTTAATTCTATGATCGTAAAACATCAATTCCATTTGCAACCCTTCCCAAATTCCACAATTTATTACCATCTGTTGCTTAATGAAATCTGGAAGACATTGCAAAATGTTATGACCAAAAACACATCTTTATTTGAAATATTTATCGAAATGCACCGGAATTTTGAAGACAAATAGAATTCAAGATAAAGATTGTGTGTATTAGTATTTAAATCTTCAGAAAGAGAATTTTGTGCTTTACATTAGATACTATATATGAGATGATCGATTTGTTGGCAATGTGTTTATTTCACCCGATTTCATTTCAAAACAGCCTGTGTGCTGTCAACTAGAATGGGATGTAGAAATCTAGAGAATTTAATATTTATTTATTTACATCAAATGGCAGGCGTTTTGATGGTTATTATTAGACCTTTAGTTGACTTCAGGCTTCACAGAGGAGAAGGAACATGCTTTAGTTGACTTCAGGCTTCACAGAGGGGAAGGAACATCAATTTAGCTGACTTCGGGCTTCACAGAGGGAAGGTTCATCAGTTGAAAAAAAGTCGAGAGGGGGAAGAGAGGAGTGTTTCAAAATCAAAAAAGTCGAGATGGGGTAGGGGCGGTGAACAGAAGAGTGTTTCATAGACGAAGGTAGAAAAGTTAGAAAATTATGTGAGGTGAGTACTGTGAAAGTAGTCGAATATGACATACAGTGGGGTGATGGTAGTTTGAAGTCAGAAGTCAATACCCAGTTAGTAGACTTTTGCCGTATGAGTATACGTTGCCCGGGGTACACCACGTGGAGGTAAGTCTATCGCACACCCCGAGAATTTAATATACATTTAAACGGATATTTGAAAATATTCGCACGCTCATTCATCTTGCATTGATATGTTTGCTATGAGCATGCGTGCAGCATCTAGATTACCAACTAATATAATATCAAAACTCACAATATATATGCACTGGCCTTATGAGCCGTCAATTCATTAATCGATTAAACGTATAGATAACCAATCCTTAATTACAAGATATTTTATATTTTAATTGTCTCCACTCATCAACATATTGCTGATTGATTAATTTGTACTTTCTGGCGAGAAAAGAAGGTGTTCGCGCCTACTTAGTTAATGCCAAAAGAGAATTCACTTCAAAAATATAAAAGCGGAAATATCGATCATAGGCCTATTGAAACAAAAGTGTGGATAAAAATGACTATTTCTGCAAATAAAATTTCCTGACTTTTCTCGTCAGAAACTGGTTTCCAAAGTTTCTGCCGAATCTCCCTAAATTTTGGAGCAACAATTACTTAGAAAATAGGTAGAAGATTTGGCATTTTATATTTTTGAAATATTTAGACACCTCAAGTTTCGCCTATGAAAATCAGCCTTATTTTTAAATCACTAATTTCAAAGATTTATTCGAAAGAAGCCTTTTATGCAACTTTAATATTTTAAGTCATTGGAAAGTCAAATTAGCCCTTTTTAGCTACCATAAAACGTTTTGACAGAAATCAAAGTCCAGTCATTTTGAAGGTCAAACAGATGTCGAGAGTAAAATTTGAAACTGATTTGTGAAAATTCGCAATTAAAGAACGTGATTCGGAATGCATATATTCCTTTAACGCCGTTATTTTTTGCATATAATAATTATTTGTTTATATGTTTAAATTATTGGTTTAAGACTAACTGGTTGCAGTTATTTTGAGCTGTCGGACTTGTTAAAACTGCTTGTTTTTTTTCCTTCTAAAAGAAATAATTTTGAACGAGACTTCTGAACAGTTTTCAATATAAAATTAATTGTGGAAAAAGAGGGGGGGGGGTCCAACTTGATGGCATGAGAAGGTTCTGCTTCTTGCCGATAGATTCTTTTATTCCGAATAGTTTGGAACCTATGAGTTCAATTGAATACTATTTGGGTAACGATTACATTGAGTGGAAATCACTATTAATTTGGAATGACCCTTATCGGTAATGACTATTTACTGAAATTCGCCGGGTCGTTCGGGAAGTTGACGAGATTGATTGATTGATTGATTGATGGATTTATTATGACTCATGGGAAGTCGAAAGATTTCTAAATTTTTTAAAGAGTATATATATAATAGTGCGATGGCATCTAAATCTTGATTTATATATTTCTTTTAATGTTTCACAACAGTTTCATTGCGCGTAGTTCTCCATTTCACATTAGGAAATTCAAATTTTGCATTTCTCTCCCTGATTCATGGGACGAATTCTTGCTATATTTTGCTTTAGTAAGATGGCCAGTGTAAACGTTCTAATTCCCCCGTTCCTAATATCGAACTGCGAGTTTAATATTATCTTGTATGAGCTTCACATAGCGGTGTTCAATCAATGTAGATCGAATCTTCGAAGGTTAATTTTATCATGAGTGTATGCTGCAAATTTTTGGCTAGGCAGGTAAAGAATGTAACAAGTTTTAAGAAATCAGACAATTATTTCTTCCCGTAATGAGTTTATGAAAGTTAAGATAAGTAAAACAATGTAATTTACTTCAACTTTAGCTCACAATCAACGAGAACTCAACTACTTCATTGTCTTTATCGGCACCAGCATCACCACCTCTCCAAGCCATTTCCGCTTCAAATCCGCAATTTATCTACACCGTCAAACCGACTCTCATGGGCAGGGATGTTGATGAAGCCTTAGACAATATTGAGTTTTCGACTGCTGTTGACGAAGCCACGCTAAAACCTCGCTCACTTCCGAATTTCACTTCTTATACACCTTCGATTCCTCAATCATTCGGCCAAATGGTGGAGAAATCTTCCCCCAATGTTAATGGTAATCGTTTACCAGCTTCTACAAGAGTGGGGACTTCACGTAAACCAGCAGACGTACAGCAAGTTCCGATAAACACACAATCGCAAACGAAGCGCCATCAACCTTTGAGGGTGGATGTTAATCAGGTAGTCAATGGTTATTAAATCATCGATTTCAGCTTGGGTATGACTTTTTCACTGTTAATTAACTCTAAAATGAATTGGTTAAGTAAGTGCCTTAAATTATTTTCTCATCGTTTGCTGGCAAAGAGGATAGAATAGAAAGGATTGAGCTAAATATTCTCTTCACTTCTATTGAAATAATGTTAAAATCTGGATTCAAATTAAAAGTTTAATTTAGGCAAATAGTAGGGATACTGTGATCAGCACTAACTGGTATCTGAGCGCCACTTCCTTATGAAATTAGCATTATATCACCACTATTATTGAAGAGAATGCAGTGATTTGAACAGTCATCCATATCCTCGAATGTCGACCTTGTGACCACCTAACTTGGCTATCCTACGCGTAACCACTGAGATACTGTAACATAGATAGACGCAGCAGCTTTTAATTCTCTCTATGTTCCCAAAAAGATTCTTAAATCTTTTTGAAAAGATACTCTGATGATATCTAGAAGCATACTTTCATGTCATGATGAACTTCCAATGTTTGAAATTGTCCTAAGCACCTCTAACTAGACACAATTCGCTAGCATGCGATCTTGCTAAAACGCTTTTCATAGTAGCTTATGAATCTTTTGTGCGAGGTTTCCAATACATTGAAGCTATCAAACATTGATCTTTGCACAGTTGTCTTATGTATCTGCGAATTTAGAGTCTTCCTATGGCCAGAAAATTGACAGGGTTGTTTTTGACGTACTAAAGGAAATTAACCAAATTGGCGTGGAGTTACTTAGACTTACCGTGTACAATATTCACATGCCTTGAAATTGAGAATGTCAGAAGTCAGAAACAAACTTACAGCTTCTTCCATTTTAGTTACCGATCACAAAAGCTCCCCCACTGCACAACATCAAGTCATCGACACCTAATCTACAGGGTCCTCCATTCACAGATGGTCCACACCGTCGAGGACCACAAGAGAATTCACAAACCCCCAGTGTCACTGCCGAACGCAAGACCGGAAGTCTTGATCGAGACGGAATCTGGCGTCCGAACCGCAATCCCAAAGGCCCAGCAACTATTCATCCAGGCAGTACATCACCAATTGCCCATGGACTTGGATATCCTCCCTCAACTTATCCCACTGATCTAATCAGTGGCAGTATCCTTGGTCCCACAGGCTTCCCGAGACTTGACCGTCGACGAACAATCAATACTCCCCGACTCTTTCCGTTCGGCTCCCCTTTTGAGGGATATTTACCAGGTGGGAGTGGTATTGGAGGTGTTGAGGTTCCCATTGTTGTCCTCCCGCCTCCTGCTGTCAATTCAAATATTCCCTACGCAGCGCCTCTCACTCCCTCCGCCTACAATTCGACTAGTTTTCGACATTACCCTACATCACCCAATAACAATGGCATTCGACGTGGTAAGACGCTTCTTCATTTTCATGCAATTTATAACTCACTTTGCTTGAAATTCGAATTAAATTAAAAGGCAAAGTAACTGCATGAATCATTTTATCGATACCGTTATAATCATAAGGGGTAGCTTAACTTAGCCCTAAATCTAAGATTTACTATCAATCAATTCATGACTTGTCTAATTTTAACACCATCTTTACCTTTTTCCAAAGGTAGAAATAGGAAAATAAGTTGAACTGGTCAACTCTGAAGATAGAAATACGAAGGTGTAATTTTCTTGGACATACCACGAAACCTAAATTGAAGGCCTGGCAGAAAATATTTACCGAACCGAGATTGTGGTGCAAGTACCAGAAGCAATGCTTCAACTTATTTCAATAATTAAGCCGGTTCTCATCTAATAGGAACTGAATTTTGAGGAGTATGGTGAATATTTAGTTTTATTGCCTTGCACCAATTGATCGAAGGCTTTTTAGCATTATAATCAGGGAGTATTAAATGAAAACGAGGGAGAGGGGTAATAAGTACAATTTGAATTCCGTAACCATGGAATTTGATGGGATTCCTTACGAGGATACATGGGTTTTTCGTCCATAAAGGTGCAGTACTTCACCCCAAAAATCAAATCTCATGTTCACACTGTTTTAACTAGTCTATAAAATCCACCTTTTTCTCTAGAACTGCACTACTTGCTCATGTGACTCATATAAGCTCTCTTTGTGTTTTCCCACAATACACACATAGACACACACAAGTCATTTGTTTGTTCATAAGCTTCACGCTCTTGCCCTCATCTCTCTATCTTACTCGTTCGATGCTAGCTGATAAGTTTGGTCTTTGCTTCTACAATCTAACTCTGATAAAATTTCTCTCTTAAATTTGGTGACTCAACAAACTGGTAATCGATCCCAATACACTATAAAATGAGTTTTACTTCCTGAAAAGAACATTGGAGGCATTAGGAAGAACTTTGACTACCACGAAAAGTTAATAGAAGAAAATAAATACTTGTCATACCTTTCTAAACCCATATCAGAAATACCTTGCAACTTGATTTAAACTACACAAATATGATACGTATTGATTTTGATAAATGGAAGTTGGGTTAAAGCACCACAGTAGCAAGTACTGTTGAAGTGTATTTCCAAATAATACGTGTTTGAAATTTTCAAAATCATCCAATAAAGTTCAAAACTAAGGTAACAATTAGGACCAACGGAGCCCGATCTATTCGTTGTGTTTTAAAATTCGAATTCTTTTAATAAACTGAGCAAAGGAATATCTCATGTTAAAGAGAAAAGTAATTGAAAAGTTTTTTGCATAAACAACTCTTGTCTTGTTTTCATTATTACCACCCAGGGTATTGCAAAATAAGATAACCGTTTTTTTAATTGTGGGAAGCAATTTAAATCCGCTAAAATAAGCCTGATACATGGCAAAATGGAGAGGATGGAAACAATACTGGCAGTAACATCATGGTATCTAAGAGCCACATTGTATTTCATTTTCATTTTACCCTTTGGAAAGCCAAACGTTTTCCACATGTAGTTCATCAGTATTCAACCTTTTCATACAAAACAAAAGCTAACTCATTGGTTTCTACAATAGGGCTTTTGCCTGTTAGATTTTGCATGACAGATAAACAATTGAAAGGTCATGCTGTTCTTCTGAAAGCTCTATAGAAGTTTTAGACAAGTATCTTACATTTCAGTTGTGCTTTGTGCAAAAGCGTAAATAATTCCAATCTCTCGTACTGGTAAACATTTTACAAGACCTCTATTTGTTAGCTGTCGTAATGGCCATTCTGCCACAGACCACCATTCAATACTCACCATTCACAACCCCTTGATAGCCTAAGACACTAAAATACAAATGTAGCACAGAGTCTTTCAAGTAGACTAAATAAATTGAAAAGCATTAGATCGGGATATTGAAAATGAGGGATTTTAAGTGGACCTAAAGTTTGGCAGTCAGGGGGAAGTCATTCTCTTGGCGAGTGGCAAATATAGCTGCTATGATAACCTCACCCTACCGACATTTTTGAAGAAAAAAATAAATTAAGCTGAAGAATTGTTCGGCTTTGTTTTACTATTTTCCTGCAGTCTCTTATGAGAAAGTAGGGAAAGAATGAGAGAAAAAACGTGGTGGATGAAACAAACCGTAGTTACCAATAATTATGATGATTAAACGGAGCAACTAGTGTCTGTATTTACAGTTTAAGTACATAAAGAAGAAAGTTGGGTGGACACGAGCACCGCTTGTAATACAATGATTTCTATTGGATGTTGCAATTTGGCAAAGCACATTCGAAGGTCACAGAGTGGTTTGGTATTGTATGTAGGGATAAAACGCTTGATTGTGTAGATTGATTTAATACGGGAACTTAAAATTATTTAAGGGGCCAATGCCTCTGTGAGGTCATATCAATCCTTCAATCTCTTCAAGTTAAATAAATATATTTTTTATGATAAAGAATCCATTTTTGGAAAAAATTCAACAGTTTTAATGAGTTAAGCATTTTCTTAACTGAAACGTGCATTTTTACAGATCTTTTATTTTATCTTTAATTTTTTGCAATCTAGAGAGCAGGAGAAGGTAAATCGAAGAAAAATTTCTCATTTTTTCAAGTTACGTTATTACAACTACATTTCTCTCTTTCTCTACGCTTATTGGTTGACATTAAACTAATTCATCGTATCATTGAAAATTAATTTATGATCCATCCTATTTCAACAGCATTACATTACTCTGATGATTTCATGTATTTTGCCTTTAGATTCCGTTCGTACAGTGCTGACCGACCGCTAAATTTCAGGCATTAAATAACTTTTCTTCATTTATTTACTCTAATTCGATTTGGTTTGGTGCGTAAAAAACCTTGTAACATAACGCGCAAACTTGCAAGCATTCATATGTCACGTATGAAAATAAAGCGTACTTTTATAATAGCTGATAATTTGTTGTATTTTGAGAGGCTGGTGATGCTCAACTTTGTTCCATTTGGTATGCAATTACTGCTCTTACCATTTAAATAATCATAAGCTTACCACTTGCATAAAGGCTCTGGTGAAATTTGGTAAGCCGTCTTATGCTTAAACACCCTAATTAACTGATCTTGTCTAAAAGACTAGGTTATGTGGCTAACTCCCCTTATGAATGAACTGGCTAGCTAGCTCTGACTTCTGTGGATATGATTCTACTCAGAATTTTGGGAGCTATCAACGGGTTTTCGAACTGGGGAACGTAAGAATATGGTGCAATGATATCAGAATTGGGTCTTTTTAACTTACCATATTCTTCAACTCTTTATTGGCCTATTGCTAGTATTCAGTGTGCCCGTAACACTTAAAATCGCAAGCTTTCCTGCTATATCATTAAAGCAATACATGACTGTCTCTTTTTCTCTTTTGTATTTGTTCCTTCTAATTATAGACTCCAAGGGTAAAACTCGCTTCCAAAGAAAAGGAGACATCGACATGGCACTTATTTTTCTTCCACTAACATTTGGCCATTAACCAGTCAGTTCTGGGAATGTTTTTTTCTGCGGGGAACCGTGTTTCTTCAAGTGTATTAGATCCAGTTTAATGAGACCATATAAGGGGGGGGGACTTTTATGTTTACGCGCGAGGCAATAAAAGTACGGATGGTATTGGCTTCAGGGGGTCATTTTGCGTCCTTAAGAAACAGAAAAAACAGAAGGTAATTAAGATGGCCCATTTGAAGAAAGTGCATACCTGCATGTAATGACCTGCAGCTTCGGTAATATTCGGCAAATTTCCGTTGATTTCTTAATGAGCTAAAGTACAGCTATATCCTATTACAAATTGACCCACTCGATTTTGAGGAGTATTTGTCCTTTTAGTAGTTCAATAATTTTTCATTGGTTGGTGAAAATTGTGGAGATCATTTGAGAATCACATCGTCGTGAACTGTGACTTTGATTTCCGAATTTATTTTCGGAACATCAACATCTTTAAAGAACTGGACTTCTTTGAAGTGGGCTACTTTGTAACAAACCTTTATATTATAAAAAGCAAATTGGAAAAGGTTGATTAAAGTATGAACCTGTGGTAACAATGAAGTAAGTTGTTAGCATCGATTTCTATTCATGAAACGAAGTGTAGTTACAATTTCATTGGTTTATGCAAGAATAGTAATATTTTTTCGGTCTAGAAATTGTTCATTCAGTCGATTTGGTCGAATGAATTTGTTACTGATGAATATTACCACTCACTGTAATAACAAGTACTTCACAGGGTGTTGTTTACTAGAAGGAACTGAGATTAGTTAACAAGAATTTGAATAAAAGATAATAGGAAGAAGATGGAAAATATGCAAAGAGCCTTCTTTCATTTATTTCTACAATATTCGCTTAAAACAGTAATCGCGCTTTTATCAAAATGGATCGTTTTAGTTGACTTCTTGATGTAAACAAACCATTTATCAAAAATCCAACCCAATTTTATGAAAATAAAGACTAAATGTTCCGATGTCCTTAAATGCATGGATTTTATGAGATATGTGCGTGAAAACATTTAGTTCAATACAAGGTTGCATGTCAATATTTTCATATTTGGTTAAAAAGAGGTGCTTTTAAAAAAATTTTTTGCAATTGGATTAGAGGCGGATTGTAATATTCAATCCGTCTATCCAAAAAATCTTTTATTTATGTGACATTTTTATAATGACATTTCATTACTTCTCAATCGTCGATTGACCAATTAATTATTCAGCCTATTGTGTGTGCCATATTTTTTCTTGTTATTTGAACTGTTTATAAATTGCAATATTGTTTTACTGCCGATCTGAGTAAATCAGTGAGTGTCTAGCAATATGTAGCCTATGGACAATTTAAATAATTTATATTCATAAGCAATAAATCTTTAATAGATTTTTTATATTTCTTGTTACCCATTCTAATTATTTGTTATTGTACAGCTAGCAAACATTTTTAATCTCCTTTGTCCCCAGGTTAATTCTTTTACAATGATTCATGAACAATGGGGAATGGAAAATTCCGCATTAATTTCTCTAATTACCTCTTTTACCTTCCTTAATTGAATGATTCAGATTGAATATAAATGATAATTGGTTGGTAACTCACCTCCGAAAGAATTATGTAAGTGTTTGTAATTATATTGATACTGTAATCAGATACACACAAAATTAAAAAAATCTACTGTGAAGGACTCAAACAATAGAGAAGGGGGATTCGGCACATTCCTCTCTTAAATCTGAAATAAATAATCGCATTAAGTTCTGCAAAAAAAGTTAAATTGATATGCAAGATAATTTTGACCTTGGATATGTTGTGAGAAACTAAGGATTGCACAACTATGGCTCCCAAGCACCGTAAGATAGAATGGGAAAATTCCTTTATTTTGTATCTTTGCATTTACCGGTCCTCAATTCGGAACATTTAACAGTGTCCCTTGACTTTGGAAATTAGTTTGCTGAGCTAACGCAATTTTAACGAAACACACCCACTTCGCCCAATTCGTATTTTGCTATTAATTTAAATTGATTTTCGTTCATATTTTTTTAACCTGTTGGCAAATAAGGTGAAATTTAATTCATTCTAATTTATCATCAAGCTGAACTTTATCATGGAATCGTTTTAATTATGATATATTTGCACCTTCGCTTTGTGCAATCGACTTCTTTCAGTTGTCGATTCCACGTCGTGGAACGAATGAGCTGGGTCAAATTACTTGTTTTTCTATTTTACATCTTTCCACAAATTCACCATCTCGCACCCAGTCCGTGGTGTGTCAACTAGCTATCCATTTTTCATACTAGTCTCCCCATTCTTCAAACAATACTCTCATTCTTCGGAACTTCGGAGAGCTTGTTGAATCCTCATATCTCTAAGCCCAAACACAATCGGTATCTAGAGTCCGTTTGGACATTACTTTATGATACCGGCTGAGCATAGCCCAGTTCTTTAATTCTTACTGCAAACTAGACAAAGTTGTTTAAGGAAATGTGCATTAAAGCATAGAGAAGTGGAAATGTTTTTGAAAAACAGCATATTGATAATGAAGTTCAATATTGATCAAACAGAAAAGATGTCGAGAAATTCGTCGTGCATATAAAGAGAGCTTAATGAGTCATTTGAGCAACTGTATGTTTGTGAGTGAACACAGATGCAGTTTTGAGTGAAACAGGACGGTTTTCGAGATTAAAAGGCCCAATAGGTTTGTTCAGACGCAGTAGACACGATTGTTGAGTTATAGGACGTAAAGGCAACAAGTGAACGTCTTGCATAAAGAATTTAAATTAATATACCTACTGGAAAATATATAGATCATTCTTCAGTTTAGCCATTTTCTCTGAAAGATTGTGACATTTAGTGAAGCCTTTCCTTATCTGCCTTGTTGCATAGTTTCAATAAGAATATAAATACTTTTCATGGATTTCGTTCTCTAAAGTTGAAGAAAATATTATCCTCGAAATAGCTTACGTTCTATTATCATCACTATCTCCTTCAGAATTATTAAATCTAAATCTCATGAAATCTAAATGAAAACTGAGGCAGAGGCAGTGATATTTTATGTCCAAACAGTAGTTTAAAATCAATAAGATTTACAGTGGCAATAAAATTACTGAGAGTGCATAAAATTCTACCACCTCCTTTACCGTGATTAGCCACTTAAAATAGCTAATTAATTATCTTATTTTACAGGGAACGTGCCAATAAGGAAACTGTGACCAAATTTGGACCCTTTAAGCGTAAATCGTCAACTTGAACGCAGTTAGAATACCACCTCTCGGGGATTCAGATCTATTTTCATTTCAGTCTCCTACAGATCAGCCTGAAAACCAAAATGAACAAACTGCGCGAAATGCATCAACTTCTTCCCACTTTTTTACTTTAAATCACTACTCCCGCCCTTCCACCAATGAATACTCGATTATTAGAATATTAACAATCATCAATCGGATATTGGCATCAAGTCATTCGGCGATGTTTTTGTACTTCCCATACCATGAATCCAACATGCAGCAAAATCTGACTGCTTGACTATCAATTCTATTGACATTTTATGAGTAGTATTTGTCGGTATAGATTGAGAAATTTCACTTTACTCACGCACAACGATGTTATTAAGAGAACCCTTTATATATTTGCCCACCTCTCTTTCGCCAAACTGACTTCTAATTTGTAAATATATCTATTTTATTTCACTCAATTCGGAAAAATTTACCTTTATTAGAGTCATTTGTTTAATTTGCCATCAGCGTTAACAATTAAAAAAATTTCTTGAAACAGAAAAGATGACTTATCAAGTGAAATAAAATGATATCGGTTTATTAATTATATTTGATGTAGCATGTGAATTTTTAATGATTAAACTTCATTTTAGGGGTTAGAAAATCAAATTACAAGTGCATACGTTTCACAAAGTTGAAATAAAGGAATAATAAAATTATTTGACAAATTAAAACGCTGCTTTAGGAACATTTCCAATTGCAGAGCAACTGTACATAGAACAGAAATATGTCTGAAATAAATCTCAGATGTCTGTGTTTTTTTTAAGTTTCTTTTATTATCTGTAAATTAATATGAAATCGTGTACTTTGTGGAGCGTCATTAAACAATTGCGTATTGATAATTGGCACTTTACGTCGATCTTGGAGTAGAACCACACGGACTAATCCCATAGGAGAGAGTCACCGTTTATTAACTAGCTATTCGAGCGACTAAAGCCAGACCAGTTAGGAAATGACATTATTAGCAATGTAAGAATTTAAAATAAGTAAATTTATGGATATAAATCTAGAATTGTATATTGAGACTTATAAGTACAAAACTGATAAAGAACAAAAGCGCATGCATTTAGAATAACGTAATAAACATTTGTTGATATTAAAATAAATGAGTGTGGAGTTTCGCTGGGTGCATGCCACCAATAGACGTTACATTTAATAGTTGCAAGGTCCATGAAGTGCGAAATAGTTGTTTTGAACATTTAACTTAAAGCCAATGCATTAATTACACTGACAGACCCGAAAACAGGGGGTAAGCTATAAAATATTAAGAGCTTTGCTAAAATATCACAATTTAATTGCTATTTTATAAAATTATATTATTTTGTTTAAATGAATCAGTGACCCTGAATCTTTTCAAAAGTGGCCCCTTTGCAGATCCTAATACTCCAAACACATTGTGTAAGTTTAAGTCTATTTTTTATACACTTATCATTTTATTTCAAAATAATTTGTTTATACATTTTAATCAAATTTTGTGTTTTCTTATTTGGTTATTGTTTACTTACAGCCTATTTTTAGGTCACATATATTCTCACCATGTATACATTTTCATGCGCTTTACGCCGCTCTCTAGGAACTCATACAGTAAAGAAGAATTATCATGTCTGTCTTGTTGGCAGTGGTCCTTCGGCATTCTACGTTGCACAATCACTTCTCAAGGTATTTTTCCCTCATTCCTAATCTCATTATTTGCTTACTTATGTTAATGTTAATTATTTTTATTTTAGGCCAACGAAAATATTCAAGTAGACATGCTCGAAAAGCTACCGGCTCCGTTTGGTTTAGTTCGTTATGGAGTTGCCCCTGATCATCCGGAAGTAAAGGTAATGCATTTATTTCATTTCTTATCATTGTTTTATATAGAACGTTATTAGTACCTTTACTAAAGTTGCCAAAAATCCCAGATTCAATTTTTTTGGTAATCTGGTCGTTGGAAAAGACGTTAAGTTGATGGAACTGCGGTCTGTGTATGATGCTGTTGTTTTGGCTTATGGTGCCAGTGTGGATAAATACATGAATATTCCCGGCGAAGTAATTTCTTTTCCTTTTCAGTCTTTTTCTTTAGAACTTGCCGGGGGTTTTATCCGTCAAAGATTTCGTTGGATGGTACAATGGCTATCCGAAATCGAACTCCGTATGTTTTCAAAATAAATGCTTTCCTACAATTTTGCTAACCATGTTGTTTATTTTTAGGTCCCTCCTGATTTAAACAATGAACACGTTGCCATTGTTGGAATGGGAAATGTCGCCTTAGATGCTGCAAGGATTATGCTCTCTTCCGTCGATCGACTTAACGTAAATTCCTTTTTTTGCTTGTATATTACTTTTTCTTTCTAAACCAATGATAGGGTGGTTTGGTCTTTGTTTATATGTCATTTCATTAAATTTTCGTGCCATTTAATTACTACTTAACTATATACATTTTGTACATTAGTGTGTTTCATCGGTCTGTTCTTTATATTTTGTTTAAATCAACTTTAAGAGGTCATTCTACTCAATGGTATGAAATGAGGTCATTAAATTTGATATCAATGAGTTAATGGAAGTACTTTTTCTCCCCTCGTTTACTTCGCATATAATGCTGTCAGTCATTGTTTGTACATTTTGTCCTTTTGTGGTCTTAAGTTTCCTATTTCACCCTTCCAGTTTGATCAATATCAATAGGATATTGACAGTAATCTTATTGAAATATTCTTTGATGCGCCTGAATGGAACTCACTTTTTAATGCTCTGTTTTAACGATTTCTCTTTATTATAAACTTATTAGCCTCCGAAGCGTAGAACTTAGTTATAATAAGGGATTACTATTATGATACGCTTTAATAAAAAATCAATTAGATAAGGCCCCGCGACTTAGCATTGACGTTTTTTATCAAACTCTTCTGTCGAAAGTGGCTCATCGATAAATTTAGATTTCCGCCTCACTACAAATCTTTTTCGAGGTCTTTTGACGCATTCCAAGTAATCGTCTGGCTGATAACTGCGTAGTGTCTTTGGTTTGCTGGTTTTGCACCGTGGAAGGAGGCAAATTGCATTCAGATGAATCTCCGTTGGTCCCGTTTTCGCTTTGGAACATAAGACTGACTACCATAAACGAAGACTTTTGCAGTAGCGCACTTTCATTTGGACAATAGCATGAGGCAGCACCTAGTATCGAATTTGAGATTTTCCTTTACTATCGCTTCCCTTATGGAGAGAAGTTTCTTCTTTTCAACATGTTAATTTTCCAGAAATGGAGGTTAGACAGGGAGCTTACAAGTCAGACATTTAAAGCTCAACTCTGGTTATCTGAATACAATCATTTATCTTGTCCTCCAAGTTAATATAGAACGTTCTTTGTATATGTCCAGCAAGACAGGCACATAATGGGATGCAGGAGGGGG